CGGGCAATCAAAATAGTTTAAAAGGACCCTAAACGTGGCAATATACAACTATCCATACATAATTAAAGCTAGAGGCCTAAAGCTAACCAAGCTCAAGCCTCTGCGTCTCTTCCCGAAGGCGCACGCCTAGAACCTTCACCTGAAAATATTGTAAACCACGGGGTGAGACAAAGTCCCAGTAACCAACCTTTCCAATGCTAGGTACTACTAAATAGGTGCTCGTGAGATGTCAAGTGGGGCAGTTTACAAATTATATATATATATTGATAGCCACAACAATTCATGCAAGTGCAATGATGCAATCCCATCAATCAAATCCCTCACTTTGGGGGATTTTCAGGAGCCGAACCCGGCCTATCCCTCACTATGGGGGACGTAAGGAGCCATAAAGGCCTATCCCTCACTCTGGGGGACGTAATGAGCCCGAAGGCCTATCCCTCACTATGGGGGACGTAAAGAGCCAACCATCATGCATTAATGGAGGCCTTACCACGTGGTAGTAACTATCAAACTCTCACCAAATCCCAAATTATGCATCATGCTCAAATCATAATCAAGAGTAACAATCATTTCGCAATAAACCTCATTCAGTGGCATATCTTTCACAATTCCAAAATTCATTCATCATAAATCAAAACCCCACAAGACGGTTTTCCCTTTTTATATACAACATATAGTTTGAACACAATTACTATTTGGAGCACAAAACACAAATCTACTCACAATACCACATAAGCAAGTACTAAGGATTGGAAAGTGGTTACCTCTCGCCTGAGCAAGGAATAACAACCAACAAAGTGGCCCCGCGCACCACCAAGACTCACAACCGGTCTACACAAGCACACAAACGCACAACCAACATATATTAGCTCTCAAACTAATAATGTGGCCAAAACAACACTTGGGGACATAAAATTCCTATCTCCCATCAAAACTCTACCCAACTTAAAGGGTATAACTAACAAAACCACACTCCAAAGTCCTCAAAGTCTATTAAAACATCAAGTCTCCTTCCAAGCATCAATTAGAGTTCAAACCTCAAGGACCCACTATAGGAATTCAACCTCCAACATCCCATTTGAGCAATTAAGGTTCCAACAACAATTCTAAACCGATTAAACCTCCAATTTAACCCTCCTTAACATAACCCAATTCACAAAACTCAAATTCAATCTCTACATTATCATCCTCAATGCCAAATCATCCAACTCCATAAACCCTAACTCCAAAACTCAAGATTCTTTAAATCTAAGAAAACTACACCGATTAAATACTTAAACTAACCCAATGCAATCGATTAAACTCAAAACAATCGGTCAAAAACCTCAGTCCCATCATAACTTAGAAAAAAACCTAGAGTTCTACCAAAATCCTCAGAAATTCCAAGTAAGAAAGAAGATTAGAGGTTAAAATCACTTACTTGAGGTAATGGATCCTTAGAAATGCTTTCCCAAGCCTCAACAACGAAACCCTAGCAGAGCTCCTCTCTCCTCCTTCAGATTTTCTTATTTTCGCACAACTGAACCCTCCAGCGATTATATAAAATCGCGACCTTTCGCCGCGGCGAACTCCATCTTCGCCGCGGAGAACTAATCCCGAGAGGAATTAGTCGCCTGAAAACCTGACTTCGCCGCGGCGAACCCCAATCTTCGCCGCGGCGAAAGCTTCCCGAGAGGAAACTCTCGCTCGCCCAGAAGAACTTCGCCGCGGCGTGCCCTTACCTTCGCCGCGGCGAAACCTTCCCGAAAGGGAAGCCTCGCTCACCTGAACAACTTCGCCGCGGCGTCCCCTAGACTTCGCCGCGGCCAAACCTCCCCGAGAAGACACTCCCCTCTGAAACTCCCGGTGCGCCGCGGCGAAGTGCCGCGGCAAAGAAAGGGGTACGTTCACCTATTCCTCCAACAAACCTCAAATCCAACCCAAACACCAAGATCAAGATTAAATCACTAATCTATCCTCAAAATCAACCCAAAAGAGGCTATTAAAACCCGATAAAACTTAGGATGTTACAAACAGCACTTCCCTTTGAGTTTTATAGCATAGGGAGTCCTACGATCAATTTATCATTAGAATGCATAACTTCATTAAGTCTATGCTGGTTGCAGCCAAGAATTTCCTTAGCTGTGGCCAATTACTTTCAGTAGTAATCTTGGTTGCGGCCAGGAATTTTCTTGGTTAAGGCCAATTACCATCTAAAATGCTGTTAACTGAGACCAATAATGCTTTATTTTGCATATCCTATTTTCTTGATTTTTTTTCATTGTATTATGGCTTTCTAAACATCTTTTCAACTTCATGGGGATTAACATTTGAATTGAATGGCTTCATTGGAAAGCTTCAACCACCTATGAAAACAACACAAACTCTTAAAGCCAAGTTGATGAAACAAGGGCAAAATATTACTCCCTCCGTTCCTTATTATAAGAGACATTTGATGCTTATGGCATGTTCCTATATATAAGAGACATTTAAAAGTTGTCTCTATTTTTTTGTGTTGATTTCCTATTTTACCCATATTTGTCTCCAACTCACACTCTCTCTCATTCCCACTTCTCTTTCTTTGAATAATTTACCATTGTTATCTCTCATGCTCTCTCTGCTTATTAATGAGGGCCTTTTTGGAAAAAAATTATATCTTTTACACATTGATTGTTCTTAACTAATTTTAACTGTTTTTTTTATCAACGTAATTTGGTTATTCGTCTCTTATAATAAGGAACGGAGGGAGTAACAATTAACCAAAAATCAATAACTTTAGCCTAAGTGTCAATTATGAACATTTCTTTTCATGTATACCTCCAAATTAAAGATGTATTAGTTTATTGAAAAGTGTAATAAATAAAGAAAAATGTGCTAAAGTAACATGAATTTTACGAGGTTAACACTTATCCGTTTATTTAATAATAATGACTTGACTTGTAACCCTTTTTAACTTGTGAATTAATCTTTCTTAGGTGTATGGAAACTTAAGAAGAATTGAAATGCAAAAACAATAGTGGGTTCAATTTAACATCAGCAATTTGGTTACCAACAAACTTTCATTAGTTGGAGCTAATTATAATGCTGCTTTTCTATTTAATGAGAAGCATTACTTCATTACATAAATTGCAACGGACATTCCTTTAATAATATGTTTCTCATTCTCTTTGGCTAAGTAATTAAAGTACACCATGCTAATGACAAATCCAAAATTAGATTCGAGTCAACTTAAATACCAATCAATTAAGAGAAACTTTCTTCACATGCATTGTTGTCAAACTCACGTGTTGACCTTCCAAGTTTAATGTTTTTACATTTTAGCTTACGAAATCATGTTAAATCGCTCGTAAACTCATATTAACTGTAAACTCAATTGAACTTATAAGTTGACTCACCAAGCTTACTATTTTTATATTTTTAGCTTACAAAATCATGTCAAGTCGTCCTCAAACTCATACTAAAATTTTTAATTCATTGATATCTAGTGACTTTATATGTGAATGTTACATAAATTTCTTTGTTGAATATGATAAATTGGGAATGTTGATGAATATAATTTCAATTATTTGAATTTAAAATATATTTGAATGAAATGTTGTCATTTTTTATATTTTAATTATTTAATTATATATTTTTAATACCAATTTATTAATAAAAATAAACTCTTATGAGTTTACAACTTAGGTCAACATTCCTTTCATGAGTATGCTTAAATTCGTGAATTTAACAACTTTGCTTGCATGTGTTTCTTTCTTTCTTTCTTTTCTTTTTCTAATTTTATTTAAAAGATTTTGAGTAATAAATATAATTTAGTTGTTAAAATACTAAATAATAAACATTTGACATCATTTTGTTACAGCATTTTTAAAATAAAGCTGTAGTTGGAAATAAATAGGAAGAAGCCAAAAACATGCTTTAGCAATTTCCATTATTGAGAATGTGATTTTGATTTGTCCCATAATTATTTATTCAAATATACATGAAGCCTTTTGCCCCCTACTCAGCTCATTAATAATTATGTTATTTGAACAATTTAATAGGGGGAAAACATGAAAGTTTCTTTTGCCAAAAAACATGAAAGTGTTTAAAGAGTGATATTTGAAATATTATCCATACCTTAAATTCTGTGTTTATTAAAATAAAAGGCCATTAGTGCTGATTGATAAAGTTCAGCAGAGGCTAAGTCGGTGGAAAGCTAATTCACTATCTTTAGCAAGGAGGCTCAGTTTAATCCAATCGGTCAGATCCCAATTGATTTCTTTCCAAATGCAACATGAAAACATTCCAATTGGTGTGTGCAATGAGATTAAGAAATTATAGAAGAATTTTATGTGGGATTCTCAAGGAGATAGGAGAAGAATCCATGCCTTAAGTTGGGAAACTATATGTAAGTCGAAGAGGATTCTTTTCGGAAGAAAATATGATGCGAGGACCCGATCCACCAACTATCTGAAATGTTGGCAAACAGGGCCATAGTAGTGACCAACACTACCTTTTCCTGATCATCATGTGGAGGGTTTGGAATTCAAAGAATGAAAGAAATGAATGAAGCTCTTTGGCTAAGGTAGGTTGGAATTTAATTGTGAAACCGGAGAGCCTTTACTCCAAGGTGCTTGCTGCCAAATACAAAAAGAGGTGCTGATTTGACTTCTAGCTGCATTGTTCAGAATTCTGACACTGTTATGTGGAAACATTTGGGCTCTTTGTGGCCTAAGATTATTTACAATATTAAGTGCGAAGTAAGAAATGGGAGAAGAGTGAGACTCTGTGTTGACCCTCGGATTGATAATGTGTATCATCTTTAGTCTCACTATAGTGGGGGGAAGTTTGGTTGTGATAACAATCTTCTTATTAAAGAGGTGGAAAGGGGAGATGGGGTATTGAATTGGCAGTGGCTTCGTGAAGTTCTTCTGATGAATATAGTGAATAGATTACATGCTATGCCTCATCCTTGTCTTGCTAATGGAACGGACAAATTGATATGGAATGGATCTTGTGATGGTAATTTTTCTGTTGCAGACATGTATTGGAAGCTTAACCCTCGAGTTGTTGGAGGAGTTGACCACATCTGGAAAGTTGTTTGGAAACTCCCCGTGAGTAGAAGAATCCAAGTGTTTCTTTGGATAACAGTTCTTGATAGACTCTTGACCGCAAAGAGAAGAGCCAAGTTATTAGGGACTGATCCGAAATGCCTCATTTGTGGTGCTGCTGAGGAGGACTCGTGCCATGTCCTGAGAGACTGCACTAAAGCTAAGCAGCTTTGGTTCAGTCTAGATATCTTCTATTTAGACTCTGAATCTTTTATCTTATCCAGCAGGGACTGGTTCATAAAGAACTTGGGTTCTAAAGGTAATTAGAAGACTTTTTTTGAAGTGGGCTGTTGGTGGTTATGAAAGTGGATGAACCTTACTCTATCCGAGGAGGGTTTTTTCTTCCCTTTGAGACCTGCACATGTTATGCTAAAGCATGTGGATGAGTGTAAAGTTGCTTTTTGTTGTAATGCTAGTAGTTGTAGACAGAAAGTTTTCAGAAATATCAGATTGTGTTTCCCTCCCTCAGGTTGGTTTAAGCTCAACTTTGATGGTGCTGTAAAAGGGAATCCTGGACCTGCTAGTTGCAGGGGAGTTTTGAGAGGTGATGCTAGAGATTGGGTGTGTGGTTTTGCTAAAATCCTTGGCATTTGTTCTGCTATTTCTGCGGAGCTTTCGGGGATGGTCTATGGGCTAAAGATTGCCCAGGACTTGGGTATCTCCAAGCTTGTGGTAGAAGGAGATTCTGCTACGGCCATTTCTACGCTCCAAGCTGCTTGGGACGGCGGGCAGGTTACAAATAGAATTTTACTATCCGGCCTTTGTTCTTTTAATATGAATGATGAGACTTGTTTTTCTCATACCTTGAGAGAAGGCAATACTGTAGCTGACTGGCTTGCCAATTTTGGATTTAATTTTGGTAAGGACCTGTGTGTTTTGCATATTCCTCCTAGAGGTTTATCGAGTCTGTTGTAGCGTTGCAGCAGCAGCACCAACAACAACAGGCTATTAAAAATATAAAATTAAAATAATATTGAATCTGAGTATTCCAATTTTGTTTTAACTAGGCAGATTAAAATATTTGATTAGGTTTTAAATTCTAATAAGTTACATTATTTAAGGTAGTTCAAGATCATTTTTTATAGGAATATGATTTTTTTTATTCATTCAAATGGGATTTGAATTACAGGTGTGGAATTTAGAGTGAACGTGTGAAAATTCAAAATTATTTATTTATTTCTCTATTTAAGCTCCCAATTGACATACTATTTAATAATGATACTTGCCATGTAATTCAATATATTAAAATTTCAATTAAGATATCATTCAAATTCAAAATTAATTATTAATTTCTTTATTTGAGCCTCCAATTGAAATCTTATTTAATAATGATGCTTCCTATTTAATTCAATATACCCGAATCCCAATCAAAATATTATTCAAATCTAATTAATTGAATATATTCGGACCTTATAATGTCATACCCGACCCGTTTTGAAATAAATCGGGTGTTACAAATTTTCAAGAATATAGTTGATGATTGATATATAAGCATTGAAATAAACAATCTCTCTCTATTTTTTTCTAATGATTCTATGGTCCTATTCGGAAATTAAAGAGTGTTTTTTTTTTCCTCTTTTTGTCTTTACGATAAATTGCCTCATTAAATTATATGAATGTACAATTTTGTTAAAAAAAATGTGTGTGTATTAAATAAGAATAAAATTAAAAAAGTTATTGAATTTTAAGATAAAATTAATAAATTTAAGATTTTTTAATAAAACATGCTTGTTTTACTAGAGATAATAAAACATGCTCAAAATCTTTTATAAATAAGACATAATGCTCCTAACAAGCAGCCTTACTTCCGTAAAGAGAAGAATACAAATCCAAATCAAAAGAATCACACTTGTTGAAAGAAATGAAAACCTCTTGCACTCTAAACCTTAAAAAAAAACCCCTTGATCAAATAGAAAAAATAAGACATATGCCTTCTATGATGCCATATATTGTAGTGTTTAAGCCAGCCACCAAAGTATCATTTTTATGCATTGTATTAAACTCCATCCACTTTGATTGGTTTTTGACTGGTGAACTAGTGAATGAGTCCCTTGATTGATCCAGTTAAGGTTTTGGGATAGGTTGATCAAATTGTTTTTTTACGTTATTAAACCTGAAATAATGTCATTTGGTTATTGAATTCAAAAAATACATTTTTTTCAAAGTTCATTTTGTCCTTTAATAAACTTTGTTTTGTAGTACTATGATTTATGTTGATTTATACATTAATATTCTATTTACTTACGAATTAATATCTTTTTATTTAAATATTACTTTTTGATAACATTTAAATATTATTCTTTTAAGAATCATATTTGAATATTTTATATATTTTAATTAAATAATGACCTATTGATTCTGATTTATACCACTGACTCTTGGATTACTGTCTCAATCAGTTCAATAACTAATCCAATTTTCAGTAGAGTTTGAAAAGTAGATCAAGCCCATCAACGGTTGACCCATTTAAACATGTATGTTATTTTTTTAATTATTTGAAATATGTTTTAACCATTTTAGTCATTGTATTTATTTATTTATTTATTATTTTAGCCAGTATTTGCTTGAAATTATTTTAATCCTTTGTAAATTACATGATGCAAAAATATCAAGATATTTATATGATGATGGATAATTTTCTATCAGAATTCAAGATAACAATTTGATTTGCTTTATGTTTTTGTTATTTAGCAATTAATTTGATACTTTAGTTTGGTAATATTTATGACTTAAATTACAAATTTAAGTTTTCTAATATTTACCAATACTAAAACCTCATAATTAGAAAGAATTAGATGTATGTAGCAAATTTTATTTGAATAAGATTTAGACACTATAATTTTGCTCTAACCTACATGGCAAGAAATAACTTTTAAGACATGTGAGCTTGCGGTATCAATTAATATTTATATAACCTGCATCTATCATAATTTATAGAAATGATATGTGCTTTCAACCTTAACAGTATGTAACTTACTTAATGCAATTAAAACCTGAATGTTAGTATTTTATTTTATTAAATTCTTAAAGGAAACAAAATTAAGAAATGCAATTGAAATCTAAACGTTGTTGATTTGTGACTTAATTTTGATCATCTTTATGTTTTAAATTAAGAATTTTATTATATTATTTTCATCTCTTTAGAAAAAAATAGTGAAATATGATTAAATGGGCCTAAAGCACATATGTCAACTTTGAGCATGTAAAAAGGGATATTTTGGGGATGGTGGGTTTTTAAACAAGACCTGTTTAAAACCGAGCCCATAAAAGGCTGGGCTGGCTCGATTTTCCTACACTATCTTTTGGTATGAATGTAGATATTGTTAATTATAATAAATTTAGTATCCGATAGTATCTTGAATAGGATTGCTTTTAATAGGAGGATACCTATGCTTTAGGAAAAAAAAAAATTTATCTCTTTTTTTTCTTCCCCTTGAACAGTGAATATGGAATTCAGATCCCATGGGTAGCAATAAAATAGGGGAGTTTTATTACTTCAAGATGACTAGGTATCATTCATTCATTTGTATATAATCTGTCATGTTGAATCACGCCTCCAGATGAATATGTGAAAATTAGTCATCCAATCCCATCAACAAAACATGTTTAATCATTTTTCAGCAACACATGTCTATATAAATATATATATATATATATTTCTTTTCATAGTCTTTCTCACAGGTAAGTTTCTCACTCGACCTGATGAATCATTTGACACACATGCTTCTTAACCCAACATCCAAATGTGATAGCCAGAACAGAGAGACATGATGGAACCACCCCAATCCGACAACACCTTCATCAATGATCATCATTCACCCGGCAAGCCTCTCTCCCAACATTTTAACTCCCATGTACCTGCACCGCACAAATTAAGGCCATTTCATCATAATTGAATTCGAATCAGTGCTTTCAGAATAATCTTGACGGCAAAGTGATATACAAACCTTCCAAGCATCATCACTGTGGCTTGAGGATTTGTTCCTGGAGAAGTAAGGAACGTAGAGCCATCAATTACGCGAAGACGCTGCACACCCAGAACTTTATAATCACGATCGACGACCTTCCCAACCTGGCTACCTCCATGATAGTGCCATATCGTCATCACTGTATCTCTGCAATATTGCTCCAGTGACATCGACGTGTTCGCGTGACGGGGAAGTAAGTTCACCGGCGCTTTCGCCGTCAGGTTCAGCAGCATTTCCACCGGCATGTTCTGGTACCGGAACGGCCTGAACGCCTTTGAGTCTATCACCTTCTCAATCGTGCTTATTCCTCGCACGCATCTCTCCAGATCCCTCGGATGCTGAAAATAGTTGAAGGTCACAGCCGGGTTATCGTTCGGATTTCGGTTCCGGAGCTCCAGATGCCCGGTTGATATCGGACCCATTATCTTCTCAAAGATGAATCCGCCTTGAAATGCGACACTGTCTAAGCTCTCCATCAACTCTATCGCTTTTGCTAGGGCTTCCGGTGTCCTTTCCTTCGGCGGCAGTTTAGACAGTTGACCGATCTGCGATTTCCCTATATTATATTAACCGAAGCCATGGATGTTATCATCAGAAGCAAGGGATGGCAATACGTACCTTAGGGGAGAACATTCCATAGTCTTTGGGAGAACCGCCGGCGAAGTTCTCGCCGCTTGCAGCTTCAACGAAGGAGCCGAAGCTGGTAATGCCGACGACGTGAAGGAGGGAGACCTCGACGGGGATCGGAGACGGGATGAAGACGGCGTTCATGGGGTTATCGGACATTCCCTCACCGACGGAGGGCTGGTCCAACACCACAGTAATGTTATGGGCCTTGAGGTGGGCCTGAGGCCCAATTCCGCTCAACATTAAAAGTTGTGGGCTTCCTAGAGCCCCAGCTGATACAATTATTTCGTTCTTAGCCCCATTCTTCAGATACGCCTTGTGCTTTAACCCCCTCGAGTCCCTGAAAATGACTCCGCGAGCCACTGTGGCTTTTGATTTGCCTGTTCAGTTTCAGACCTCAGAATTCGAAATTCCAAGTAAAATAAATGAAAATGAAGAAAGAAAATGAGAAGGGACCTTTGGAGGGATTAGTGAAGAGGATCTTGTGGACAGTGGCGTGGAGGAGGACCGTGATTTGAGAGGGATTGGCGTATCGGAGGAGGTCGGCGGCGGTGTGGCGAAGGCCGTGGGGGTCGAAGATGGTGCCGCCCACCTTGGTACCGTTGATGTGATCGTAAGTGAAGCCGTTGTAGGGAACGACGTCGCTTTGGATGAGGCCATCCCTGACGGCCGATTGCCATGGGCCCATGACAGGCTGGAAGGCGACCACTTTCTCCACCCACTCGTACGAGTCATTTACTGCTTTGCCCTCCCATCCTGCTTCCCTGACATTTCATTGCCCAATCCCTTTCGCATCAGTCTCGCGCTAAATTACTCTTTTTTTTTTTTTTTTTTGTGAAGAAATTACTCTTCCTCTCCTATCTACTCATTCCTTATTAGTAATAGAATGGAATTTTACTATAAATATTATATTATTTTCAGTAATATTATATACCAGTGTCGGCTAATTTAAGTCTGTTTTAGACTTTTAGCAGCTTCATGTGAACAAAAGATAAAATGCTAGAAGATAACATAGCGTTAAAAATATCAAAAGCTACCTCTGGTGTTAAATATAAGAACTAGTTGACTAATTTGAGTTAATTAAAAAAATAATTTAAATAATTATTTATAATAAATAAGTATTATATTTTCTAAAATGTCCTTATTAATCAAATTTATTAGTTAAAACTACTATTATTAGAAAGATAATATGAGAGACAAAGTGAATTGAGGTCTTATATTTAAGATTAAAATAAAAATCAAACGAGGTCTTATATTAAAGATTAGAATAATTTTAAAGCTATTTAAGTCTATCTTAACAAAAGTTAATATTATACTATTATATTAATTATAATGAATTAATTACTTAAAAATCTAAATACGAAACATGTATTGATGAAGCTAGACTTAAAATTTAGTCAAAGTCAAGTTGAGAAGAAAAAAAGACTCATTTATAAACAGAAAGAAAGAGCATGAACAAAAATTATATGATGAAAGAATATAAGTGACTTTTAATTTTTTTTTTTACAATATATTCCTTTTGATCTTTATTATTTTTAATATAAGTCACTTGATGTGAAGGTCGCATCAATTAATCTTTTTTCAATATTATTTTTATTTAAAATTATTAATGATGAAATAGAATGTAATGCAAATTTAAAAATTTTCTATTTAGACACTACCTCTTATCTTAATTATAAAATCTTGTTTATAGTTTATAAATGAAATTTTATAATTAGAATCGGAGGTAGTATATACAGTAAAATGATAAATTTATTTTACTTTCAGATAAGGTTAATATTAATGACTTAGGGAGTGTTTGGATAAAACCAAACCATGGTTTGGAGAATAGCTTCTGGAGAATAGATTTTGAGGAGAATAGATTTTGTGAAGAATAGATTTTGTGAAAAAGTGATTCTGAGAAGTGAGAGTGTTTGGATAGTTATTACCAGAAGTACTTTTTATATGTGCAAATTACTAAAAAGGGTATAAGTTAATATGATAATTACATAAAATATAGATTTTATAATATATTTTAATTTGAAGGAACAAAATTGTTAATAATATATTTTTTACCAACATAATTAATAAATAATTAACATGTGTATATATATTTATAAAATATAAGATTAAAAATGTTTCTGGAAAAAATAAATATTTTTTACCAACAGAAAAATATTATTTTATTTTAAAGATTATAAATATGAAATATCATGATATTTTTTGACAAAATAAATAAGCACACATTAAAACAATTTATTACTTATTATAGTAATTATCTTTTCCGCTTTATGATTCTTTCAGGCTCACTCTCTTGCTGCGTCAGGACCAAATGACCGTAAACCATTTCTCCACGCCAACAACGCAAGCGAGTCAAGGGGCATTTTTTGTCCAAATAATTTCTGACAACCCAACAGCGAAAGCTTCAGCATCAGAAGCAAGATAATTTTGCTTTCCACAAAACCAAGGTTTTAGAGGTTAAAACCATGGTTTCAGATGAAACCATGGTTTCAAAATATTGGAGGCTGTTTGGGTAGCATTTTCCCCAAACCATGGTTTGGGGTGCTACCCAAACAGACCCTTAATCGTGTTTTTTGTTCCTATAATTATTAGAGCTGCTTTTATAATGAAGAGGGAGTTTTTTTTTTTTTTTAATTATCGATACAATCTATGCATGCAAGTGTGCGTAGAAGAAATGAATAAAATGCAATGACGATATGCTTGTTGTTGGGTGGATTTATTACCTGACATATTGAGTGCTGGCGCGAGAATAGAAACCGGCGTTAATGCAACTTCCACCGCCAAGCACGCGACCTCTGGAGTTGATGACGCCATCTTCTGATATGAACCGCTGGGCCGGAGACGTGGGGCTCAAATCAGACAGGGCGGCGCCGAATGCCACAGCCTGGGTTACATTAGGGTTGCCGTAGGGTGAGCCACCGCGTTCAAGGAGCAAAACGCTGTAGTTTTGAGACAGTGTGGCGGCTAAAGGGCAACCTGCGGTGCCTCCGCCGATGACTATGTAGTCGTAGTACGATACTTTGGCAGCAGTCCTCGCATTCTTCATGAAACTGTAATCATTCCCACCTGCACGCGAGCGCACACATATTTTTTACAGTATTGTGCTTTCGTAGATGAACATAATTTTTATAAGTGACATTTCATAAATAATCATAATTTTTACAAGTAAAAGTAGTTAAAAGTGATAATAATTAATCATAATTTCTATTTATATTTTTTTCTTATAAATGATTTTGAAAATATTGATTATGTTTGCATTTCATTTATTAAAATTACTTAACATATAATTACTAAAATATAATTTAATTTAATTGTTATAAGTATTTATTATTATTATTTAAATATAATTCTAATTTGATAATTATTATTAACAAAGAGAAATTTTTGTTGCTGAACCTCTATCGGGATTTTCTAATCGCAAAAGCTACTTACTTCTAATAGCTTATGTTCAAACGTGTGATTGGGACTAAAATCATTATTTATATATTGGGATTTCAAAAAATTTAGCCAAACAGAATAAATGAACTCTATAATCACTTATTTGAGTTTAACTAGGTTTATTTGAACTCCCACCACTTAACCAAACATATAGTTTGAATCTAAATACTACGTATTTATTTGATCATACTTCACTTTTATTATTATGTTATCCATTTTGAATGGTTTTAATTCACCGTTTCTGTTTTCCAGCAAAGCTGAAATTTGTTGAAAAATCCCCCACCAAAGGTGTGCAACTCTTCTAGGGGCAAAATATGTTTAACTACGTGCAAACCAAAAGATATTTATACATAGTTAAAAATATGTTGTACAAAAGAGTTGGATCCATTGAAAATAAGTTGTACTCACTTAAAAAACCTGGATTCTTAATTAAGTAATACTTTCTATTGTTAATATAAAATTTAATTGACTAATTTAAAGAAATTAAAGAAGATGAATAAATAATTTAATTATATAATATATTACATAATATTGCTGAAATATTGACATGTATTATTTGGGGAAAATAATGAATATAAATATTTCAAAGTAATTTATTTAATTTGTTTAATTTTCTCAGATTAATCAGCACAATCTTATATTAAGGATTACCTTTAAGCAATAAATTTTAAAATTGAGAATTTTTCAGCAAATTTTCTCAAAAAAGTATTTGAAAATGATTAACAAGTCGTCGTTTCTCCTTGATGGGGAAGTAAATCTTTCATTTTCACAACAGTTGATGACTATATGGCATTATTAAATGCCTACAAAATCTCGTGGATATTTATTAGCATGTACACATACAGCTGTGAGCACCTCAACTCTCCATTATATTATTCCACCTGCCACGCTGCTTGACTCTTTTCCCCTAGATTTTACTTCTTTGTAAAATAAGAGGGTCAATAAGGTAAAAGTCAAAGTCAAAGTCAAATAGCAGTGACTGCCATAATTTTTTGGATACTCTAGACAGTACTTCTAGTGACTAAGAAATAATAATAATGATAAAAAATTAATGTATGTTTTCCAAGTCCATTGATATGGAATCACAATTTCTTCTTACTTCCTCCGTATCTTTTTATAAGCAATTTTAAATTTTATCACGTAGATCTAAAAATCAGTTAAATTCGTTAAAGACAATAAATAGATAGAAATTAAAAGTTTTTTTTTTCAGAATACTCATATTTATGGAAGAGAGAGTATAAGAAAAAAATTTTAAAATATTAGAATAAAAAAATTAATGAAAGAGAGAGAACGTGTGGTGAAAAAGAGATAATGGTTTGAAAAATAAAATAATAAATATAAAGTATTAAAATAAGTAATTAATGAGGGCTAGGAAATTTGTTACAAAAATTTAAGACAGTTTGTAAATGTTGTTTATATTTAAGAATAAAAAAAAACGACAGTAGTTGTTGTTTATGAAAAAGGGCGTAGGGAGTAGTTTATTATATGCTGGCTCAAAAACGAAGAAGCATGCAAATAAAGCCTCATAAAATTACATTAAAAAAACTAGTTCTGCCTTGATCATAACACAAATCAACAAAAAGAAAAACTCAAACAAGTAATTAATTAATTAAACATTGCAGTAAACTGTCATTAACTGAATTCCCAGACCAGAAACAGAATCTACATGGTGTTTCATTCGATTACCAAACAAATCTAAATGAAAATGATCAATCGTAGAGTTACATGTAATCTCAGCAACTACAGCGGTATAACGAGAAGACGCAGAAATACCTTGCTGGAGGGAAGAAACACAAGGTTGAAGAAAGAAGAGAATCCCAGAAACAAGAACAAGAATCAGCCTCCACCAGTACGCCACGCCCATATTCGTCTCTCTCTCACCCACCAGAATGCTTCAAATCTTTCTTATAAACCCAAAATCTCTCTGCACCAAAGATCGCTTTGCTTCTCTATCTCTTTATCTGGAAACCCAGAATGAATAAAATGCAGATAATAGACTGTCACCCCCTTCAGAGCTCTGGCCTTGCTCAATTTATAGGACTAATCTTGAATACATGTTTTCTTGCTCCTCTCTCTCTCTCTCTCTCTCTCTCTCACTGAACCATTAAGTTGCGGCTCACATGAATTACTAGCAATTAGTGTCTTTTCTTTTTGTGTGGCTAGAATATCTCTCTTCACTATTTACAGTTCAAGAATTCAATTGGCCACATTTTTTTGGTTCATAGAGTGAGTACAGTTGGGATTTGGTTAGTTGTACCTTTCAAATTGAGAAATTAAAGCAACTTTTTTCTTCTTTTGGGTTGTTATATTACCTTTTGATCATGCAGACCGCAGAATCTATAAAGATGTACAAGGATTTGTGCGGCATTTTTGTGAATTCATGAATATTACTGATGATGCTTTTTTCATTCGAAAGAAATAAGAAAATGAAACATAACTACTTGCCTCCTATCCAATTGTAGTAATGGGGATTTTAATTCTACCTGTAATGCTGACTTGTTTAATTATTTTGCATCAAATGAAACATGACAGTTCTATATGTTAAATCTCAAACAAGACGAAAGTCACCTATGGTTTATGTGCCTTACAACTCTCTTATATTGCTGTTGTGCAAGAATTAGTATTTATTATTTCTTGTGATTCAGATTTAACAAGTGCCAAACACTGAATGGCAAGAAATTAAAACTTTTTTCTAATATCATTCCTTTTTCCATATTTGAATTTTCTTGCTGGATACTATTGAAAGGCGTCCATCTTTGAATACATATTTTTTGCTTCTGCGCATATTATTATACATCATTTTTCCAAAGCTTTAGCTTATGCATAGACTATTAATGAAGTTTGGTTATGGACGACTTAAAAATCTAAATCATTAGTTATGAACTAAAGAGCTATCGATGATAGCTAAATCATCAATTAATCAATACTCCTTCTAATGATAATTATAATAGGGTTAAAATATATCTAACATTCTGGAGTATTTTCTTAAGGTATATCCAATATCCTAAAGTATTTTCTAGTGTATCTAGCACCTTAGCTTGAAGTATTTTTTTTTTATATGCATTTAGCAACCTAAATTATATTTAAGTACATCCAACATTCTGAAATATTTTTAAAGGTAGGTTGAGCATTTTAAATTATTTTTTGATGCATCTAGCATACTGAAAAAAAATACAATTAGTGACAGACTTTTTATTTAGCAACAGAATTGAAATTCCATCCCTATTTAGCCATGAATTAATGACGGAATTTTCCTCCTCAAAGTGACTTCTCCATGACTCAAACTCAGGACCTCATTTGTGTGGATATACGGCTTTACCAATTGAGCTGCAATGAACTTTAACTTATTATGCGAAATTAAATATATATAATATTCTTTTACACAAATAATTTTATATACATATGTATTATTAAAAACTAAAAATAAGCTATATGATAATTTTAATCATAACTATTTTAATGACAATAATTTTTAAATATTTGTTTTCCTATTTATTTTATAATTTTTTTAAAAAATATTTTTAATATAATTTTAATTTCCAATGGCACTAATTTTAAATTTTAGTAGAAGGTAGCTCGCATATTCAATGACTCATTCAATGCTCTTTGCACCTTTTATAGTTGGAGAGGTTTAATTAATCGTTAGACTGAAGAGCTTCTAGCAGTTGGAAGTCCGGTTGTGTGTTTTCCCAATTGCAACGATATTCGCCATTGATGTTCTGACACAGTAGGTTAAGGGCTACTAAATATCTGTTGAGCTTCGTATTCTGTAACAATACTTGAAACTAATAAGTTTTTCCAGTGAAACTCATGAAGATAACTGATCAAGTGATAATAATAAACATTCATGTGGCAGTTGGAAAGGGAATCAATCAATCACCAGGTGCATTAAACATGAACTAACCATCCTTGATTGAAGTCATGATCGATAACTGGTTGATCGATCAAATTATCGATTAATCAAAGTGAAAGAATTTGAAATAGATAAGTATATTTATCGATCAAGTTATGGATTAACAGTTAATCAAAGAAGTGATCGATAAACAATGAGAAATGAATACAGTGACTTCAAACGAGATATTTCAAGGTTAAAGCTTTTAAATTCTCCTATGCCTTTGAATCCCTTCAAAGAGAATTATATGGAAAAGGAAGGCTAAGAAAAGCTTAAAGATAAAAATCTGAGAGATTTTGATATCATCATGAAAAGCTTGTTATGAAATGAACTTGTACATTGATCGAATAAGTGATCGAAAAATGTTTGATCAATCATGTTATCAATAAAGCTATGTATGAGTGTAAAGGTTTTCTAAAGACCATTGATCAAATACTTTATGGATAAATAAATGATAGAAAAACTGATCGATAAAAAGTCAAGAAAAGTATTTCATGATGAAAACACAAATTGTATAATGTTCGAGTAGTCAATCGATTAAGGATTGATCGATCAAGTGATCGATAAAATATTGTTTGAAAAAGCTTAGTTAAAAAAATCCACAGATAAAGATTGATCGATCACGTTATGTGAAAACAGAATATTTAGAAGTTTGGATGATCAATCATTTCATCAAAAATTAAATGATCGGTCAGGTGATCAAAAACATAACTTAAAATAGTAGGTGCAGTGAAATAGTGATGATCGATCATTTGATCAATAAATCACTGATCGATCAAGTGATCGATTAAGGAACTAGACAACAACCTTGAACAAAAAAAATATATAGATAATCTAGTGAGTTATTAAGCAATGTTCAATCAGGTTATCGATAAATCTCTGATCGATAGAGTGATCAATAAATGGTGAATGGAACAGAATACATCGAGTAAAAAAAAAACTTTACCATTTATCTGTCTTCTCTTTGATAACTCATTTATCAATCATATGATCGATAAGCTCTTACCAGAATTAAGTCTCTTTATCTGTTAGTTGTTTGATCATCTAATTATAGATCAAGTGATTGATAATTTTTTGCAGACTTCTATACCAAACAGTGTTAACAATGATCGATTAATTGATCCATCAACACATAAAATTTGAATTATCTATCAATTTATCGATCAAACTTAGTACCAAATTTCAGGCAAACAGAAACATTTTATTTGACACTTGATCAATTGCTAGAACATACTTGATTTGTTATCATCAAAACCTTAAATCTAACATTCTCCCGCTTTTTAATGATGACAAAACACAGGTGTAAGATTAATCATATTTCATCAGATAAAAATGTAAATTAGATCAAGAATAACAATATTCATCAGTAAATATCAAACCATCAAAATTTAGCATAAATGTGCAACTAATACCATTTAAGTACTGTCAGAATTCAAATTACATAAATATAACAGAAATACATGAAAAACGTAACAGAAATAACAGAAAGCATAATAAAAGCACAGAAGAACTAAACAGATTCCTTCTCCCCCTTTTTGTCAGCATCAGAAGGTAGGGAAGAAGTAGAGACAATAGGTAAAGTAATGGGAATAGGAAGAGGGGCAAGCTGAGAAATTAGTGAGAGGGCCTGAGAAATAGGTGGAAGAGTTAGAGAAGGAGCAAGTTGAGGAACAGTGATAATGGCTAAAGTGGATGGAGTGGGAGAAGATGTGACAGGGATAGTAAGAGAAGCATGTGTGGGAGAGGTAGAGATTAGCAAGGAAGATGTTTCAGGAATAGGATGAGGAGGAGATGGTAGATGAGATAAGAGATCCTCAAAGCTGAAGGAGGTGCTTGGTGTAGAGAAATTGTTGCAGAGAGAGGCTACCATTCCTTTCAATTCTCGGATTTCCTTTTCAACTAAATCAAATCTCTGGGAAATCTCCTTTTCCAAGACAGCCATGGCCTGATGATAAAGATCTAGGACTGTGTAAAGACCCTATTAGATATCTGCACATATTCCTTGGTTGTATCATAAACTCTCCTCTCAAAATCTTGGAGCTCAGTCTGGAACATTTCCTTGATTGATCTCTCCATAAATAAAGGTCTAAAGGTATAAGAGGGAGCTGCAGTGGACATCCTGTGGTTTGGAGCTGCTAGGCGGTTGTTTTCCTTTTTCTTTGTGTGCCAGTTTTTGTGATGGTCTGAATGGCATAAGGATTCTCATTTTGTTGAGTTGATTTATGCCAAATTCCGAAACCTTCACTTTAAGTTCTTCTAGCTCAATGGGTGCAATGTTATGCACTTGAAATAGATAGGTGGCCAGCTGAGGATAAGGGGTTGCTGTAGACTTGGACTTGTTAAGCACAAAGTCCTTCATTTCATTAAAAATTAGATCCCCTATGTTGATCTTTTCTCCACTAATTATTCTGGTCAACATAAAGTAATCATCTCGGTTCAGATGTGAGAAACTCCCAGATTTATTGACCATACTCATTGAATAGATCTAATGGATTATTCTATACTAATCATAATTTGCTTTGGTGGAAAATTGAGCTCCCCTGGGTAGTTATCACTCTGTATTAGAATCTTGTAAGCGTTAATGTCATTTATGTCACCTCCCATCACAAATTCTTGGGTTCCTAGCAGTTTATTCAACTTGGCACTGGTGAGATTGAAGGTTCAGCCTCTTAGTTTGATTTTTAGATAATTATTCACCAGATTATCTTGTTCATCATATTCCTCCACAGATTCTATGTTACAATAGAATCTTTTAACCACTTTTGGGTAGTATTCTCCTCCAATGATCAACCAATTGGAATAGTGTTCAAGTGGATTACTCAAGTCCAAATTGATTTTCTCATTTTTCTTCAAGTCTTTTATATCAACAGAAACCACAGGATAGAACTTACGGTTTGCAAAATCTACTTTAAACTTAGCCATGTTTATATCATTATTCAAATTCCCAACTAAAAACTCATATGTTTCAGATGGAGTACCTTGGGCAGGAACTTGGCGTGACATACCCTCACTTGCTTTTTGTCTCCTTTGTCTAGTTGCTTAGGGATAGGAATTCTTAATACAACCTCCACAGCTTTTTGAACTAAAGCTTCATCATCTAATTTTGTTTCAGACTCCTCTGTAACTATAGGAAGCTTAGATTTAGACTTTGACTATGGAGATTTTCTCTGA